TTTTTTTTTTTTTTGGTACGGGGATTTAACTCAGAACCTTGTGCTTGCAAGCCAGGTGTGGTGTCACTGAGCTAAATCCCCAGCCCTTGTAGTTGACTCTTGATTACCCGAGTCTCAGATATTGATGAGAGAGAATCCAGAACTGAAACAGCTCCTCTCTTCTAGTGGTAGCTTTCACAAAGATTAGAGATGCCGAGATTAATGGCCAGGGCCCAAGGGAAAGGCAGACTCCAAGCAGAGAGTGGAGCAGAGAATTTAGACCTCATTCCACTCCCTTTTTGATCTGCCTTGGGCTGGGCTGAGTAGTCCCTGTGAGAATGCAGGAAAGGCAGAACAATGCCAGGACAATGGATGCACTGAAAGGCAAAAAGGCTGACAAAGTTGCCTTGCTTTTAGCACTCAGATAATCAAGCCCTGTGCCCCTGGGAGGAGCACTGATATATAGTCTCCAGTTTTGCTGGTGACTAGAGGGATGTCATTGTTAAATATCAAGGTTGTGCTTTGCTTTATTAAGTGTGAATGAATTTGAAAAAGTCCTCTTTTCTTTCCTCCCCCACTTCTCCCCACCAGAGGAGTGAGTAATCGGGAAGGCAGAGAGTCAAACGTCTCCTCATGCTTCTTTACAATGTGTTGACACTGTTGCTGTGAAAGCCTCAATGTTGTGATTTCAAGGAGACAGCTAATAGCTTTCAGAAAGCCTCTGCTTCGAGAACAGATTTCTTTTTCTCTGTTGAGAGGCATCAGTTTTTCCTAATGACATAATGCTTGGGGATAGCCAAACTCAAGAAAGCCTTGTAATAAAAGCCATTTTTAGAAAACTTTCCTGCTGCCACTTCCCTCTAAGTTATCATTAAGGCATCAGCTGCCACCTCCTGTGAGTTGGCCAACAAATTAGCATAGCAGGACAGCAAGTCATTGTCTCTGGCCTAACTTCCTGCCCATTGGTCCAAAGAGATAGGCTTGTTATTAGAAGTCCATTGGCGACAAGATTTTACAAATCTGGTAAGGTTGTGTGGATTGGGGTAGGTGGAGCTACATCCTCTGTGACCGGATGTGGGCATGGAAAAAAATGGAAAAGATCAGTGCTTGTCCTCCCAGCAGTCAGGGCATTTTGATGGAGACAGGTTCTGTTGTGAGGAGGAAGCCTGAGAGATGCCTCACTTGCAGAAACACAGGAGCCTGGGGAGAAGGGTTGCCTGGTGTCTAGAAATATCTAGTCATCTCAGAACATAGCCCCCAGCAATCTCCCACAGTCTGGTTCCCTAAGTCACCCAGCAACTTTCAGGTTTGTAGTTTGCTTTGCTCAGGACAAACAGGGCTGGTAGTTTACGGCTTTCTCAGCAATCTCAAGGTGTCACATAAAAGCAAATCTCACTGCATTGTGGATTGAAGCAGCAATCCTCAACTCTGCTCTGGCCTCCTGCTTGAGCCTAGGGCAGGTTTAGCCTCGAGGTTGGAAACTCCATGCTGTGGAGCAGCAGCTCTCAACCACACTTACAGCTGTGAAGGGTTATGGGTTGTGTTACTCAGAACAGCCTGACGTTGCCAGTGTTTCACTTTGGAAAAATGAATTTTGAGTGCATTCAGGGTTATCCCTAGAACAAGGCTGGCCACGCATTGCCTGTATCCAGCCTCCCATCCTGTGGACATGGAATTGGGCCTGCCTGGGAATCCTCTGTGGTGCCTGTGCTGGGGTGGGGGAGGAGGGACGAGTCACTGCTAGAAAATAAATACACAGGATTCCGTAACCTGCTGTGGAACAACTGTGCCAGAAGTGTGCAAAGCCTTTGGATGTGCCATCATGTCTGAAGCTGCACCCTAGAGACCTGAGCTTTGGTAGGAGGAGGTTGTTGCTGGCTTTTCACATCTGGATTTGACTCTAGGGCCCTGGCCTCAGCTCCCCTACCCCACTGTCATGGTACCTAGGCTGGAAGAAGTGGAAGAAACTCTTTGCCTATGTGGAAAAGATTGCACAGCCATCTTATCACTCACTACCAGGGTTTTCATGGCAGAAATGAAAGTAATGAGGGCTCAGCCTTCCCATGGCTTCTGGCTGGTTCTGGGAGAATCTTATTTTAGATTGAGGGGGCAAGAGAAGGGAGAGAGATCTTGTTGCTTGTTACTTTGAACTCATGCCCTTATCTCTCTCCAGCTTGTAGACTTTAGCCAGGTGCATTGGTGTGTGCCCGTGATCCCAGCCACTCAGGAGGCTGAGGCAGGAGAACCCCAAACTTGAGCCTCGCCTGGGCAATTTATTGAGACCCTGTCTCAAAATAAAATGCAAAAAGTGCTGGGGGTGGGTGTAGTTCAGTGGTAGAGTGTTTCCCTAGCATGCATGAGTCCTTGAGTTCAGTTCCGTGTGCTGCAAACAAACAAAAAAGTTGTAGACCTACATACTAAAAATTGCTAGGGCCAGGGATTTAGCTCAGTCGTTCCACCGCCTGCCTCACAAACACGAGGGCCTGAGTGCCATCCCTTAAAAAAAAAAAAAAAAAAAAAAAAAATTGCTGTGCTGTTTAAACTTAATATTGTTCATTGAATGGCTCAAATTACATCCAAGGACCAAGGACCAGACCCAGTTACCATTCTTGACTGTGCTAGGTTTGGTTTCCAGAAAGGCATTTAGCACTTGGGCCCAGTGAGAGCGCATGACTGAGCAGTGGGGCCATGAGGAGAGCATGCTCAAGCCTTTCCCTTCTCCTAAGACAGCAGTGGAATTTCCATTCCTGCATTCACTTTTGTGGGAGACGTCAGGAGTTCACAGGAGAGCACATTGGGCAATGGTTTTGTTCAGCCACCAATAGAAGCCTGAAGTGGGGTAAGCATAACCAGCCACAGCCAGGAAACACTGTCTGCCCTGGAATAAGCCAGGCCCAGTGGAGCTCTTCTTACCGGGTAAGATCTAGACAGTATTTCACCCAACTAAAGAGAAAGTTCTCCCAGCTCTCTGGGAGGCTGAGGCAGGAGGATCACAAGTTTGAGCCGAGCCTGTGCAATTTAGTGACTTAATGAGACCCTGTCTCCAAAATAAAAAGGGCTTGGGATGGAGCTCAGTGTGAAGGCCCTCCCTGGGTTTAATCCCCAGTACCAGGAAAAATAAGTAAATGTTCATGGATTCTACCAAGCAAAATGGATGTGGTGGAATGAGAATAAAATACATCATGCCAGTTGGATCATGAAAAGCTTTAAAATGTACGAAGAGGAATCTAAGGAAGACTGAGAAACAGAATAGGTAGTACTATGATTTGAATGTGTCCCTTGCAAAATCCAAGTGTCACCCGTGTGATAGCATTAAGAGACCATGAGGGCTGCTCCCTCAATACAGGGCTTAAAGTCCTTGTCAAAGAGGCTTCATGCAGCCCCTGCCAGACAATCAAATGCCTTGATCTTGGACTTCCCAGCCTCCAGAACTATAAGAAACACATCTTTGTTCTTTACACATTACTGAGGTGTTTTGTTGTAGCAGTACAGGATGGATTGAATCTGGGAGCAGACACCCCAAGGGAGGCTTGAAGGTGTCTCTTGTTGGAGCTCCCTGTGTGGCTGGGAGAGTTGACACCTGGAGCCACCTCCTTAGAGGTCTGCGTGTCAACAGCCGCACTGCCTTGCAGCTGCTGTTCTCCTCCCTGGGTTCATGCTTACAGATATCACCTGTCAGTCTCCTGCTGGGGCCTGGGAAAAAAGGAAAGAGACAGTTTGACCTTAGATTTGGGTAGGACCTGGGGGTGTGGTCAGGTGTTTATCTTCTCCCTGCCCTGCTCGACTCTGTTCTGGTTGCCATAGCCACCTGTATCTCAAGAGCAACAGGAGAGAGGGTCAAAGCCTGGTCCCTGTGGCTTCTTGCCTGTCATGGTTAGCTGGCTTCTAGCAGATGCCATTTAGCCAGGAGGCAGAGCACAGGCCACCCTGAGTGGCTGGGGCAGGCTGGCAGCCAAAATGCACTGGCCTTAGCACTCCCTGGGAAGATATAGGCGTGGAGGCTTGGGACCCGGGTGACTTGTTTAACCTCTCTGTACCCCAGTTCTATCTGACCATGAATGAGGCCCTGTAAGGATCAAATGAAATGGGAGAGCTCTGAAATGATCCACTCATATACATCTGTCAGAACTGACTCCGATTCGAGTTTCAAAGGCGTGTGCGGTTGGGAGGTCTTGGGAGGCCTCTGAATTTGGTTTGGTGGGGGCTGTGTACCGTGACATGGAGGGAGCCAGGAATCAAATGACAGCAGTTTGGAGAAGAGGGGAAGCAAGGGACCCTGTCATTTTGACAATATCTCTCAACGTTGAAAATAGCAAGCCCAAGGGAAGACTGGCATTTTGCATGCCTTTATTTTCTTTGGAGTTTTTTTCCTTTTTCTTGAGCCAGAAACAGTGCCTCCCACTTTACACGCCGTCCTCCTCTATCACTTAGAGCCCAGGATGAGCGCCAGTATGACATAGTTTCTCTTTCTCACCTCCTCCCCCAGTCTAGCCCTCTGCCATCTCTGCCTCTTAGCTCCTTTGTGTCATATGCCTGAAGCTTTCCGTCTCTGCAAGGGAAACATCTTCCCAGAAAGTGAGTGGGAGCAGAGCTCCTGACATCGCGTGGGTCCCTGAGTGGGAATGAATTGTGTCCACATGACCCTTCCGAGAAGCCACGTTAGAGCTGCTTAGGCCCTTGGGCAGTATTTTCAAGAATTCAGTGCCCTGCAAGTGCCCCTGTATTCCATGTCAACTTACCGAGTTGATATTAGGATCAGTGAAACATTTCCTACCTCCAGCCCACACCCACTTTCCATATCCATGACTCATGTGTTCCCCTTTCCCTGTGTCCGTGTTTCAGGGACAGTCGATGGGATGGGACTAGGTTGGTGAGTCTCAGAGTTGGGCAGCTGGGAGAGGGAGAGAGTAAAGGAAGAACAGCTTCAGCTGCTGGCCCAGCCCCTGGCAGATGTCCTGGAGCTGAGCTCCTAATGAGATCCTGTGTTTTCTGTTCTCTGCAGAACATTCTGGGAGTCCAGAACTAGAAAAGAATGGAGAGGAAGGATTGGCTGTGAGATCAGTGTGGAGATTAAGCCAGCAAGCTGCAGGTTTCCCAGAACCGAACTGCCTCTTTTTTTTTTTTCTGGTACTGGGGATCGAACTTGGGACCTTGTGCTTGTGAAGCAGGCAGCAAAACCACTGAGCTAAATCCCCGACCCTTCCAAACTGTCTCTTAAAACCTGGCTCTGCACAACCAGTTCGCCCCAGGGCTTAGAGCGCTCGCCTCATCAGCTGCTTGAATCCCATAAGTGAGAGCAGCAGGCAAGAGAGGGATGGGCTTTGAAATCAGAGATCAGCTCCCACATTTAGCTCTGCCCTTTGAACTGTGTGCCTGCTGGCAAGTCACTTAGCTCTCTGGCCCTCAGTTTCCTCATCTGTAAAATGGAGACAATAAGACTACCTCCCCATGATGTTGTTGCGAAATTCAATGAGATAACGCAATGTAAAGCACCTGGTACATAGTGCGCAATGCTTAGTAAATTGCTTCTGTCCATACCAATTCTATAGTGGCTAACAGTGGTGCTACAGTTGCTGCTGTCTATCCTGCAGTGTCCTCTCTGACTCCCTGTGAAGTTGGCTATGCTCTTCTTTGTTTTCCTCAAACCTTGAGCCCCCGTTGACAACCCTGACTGACTGCATTGCCATTACTGGCATCCCACCCTCACCCCGCATACCCTGGTACTCTCCAGGAGCAGGCTCTATGCTTCTTCAACCTTGTAATCTTCTTAATGCCAAGCACATAGTAGGAGCCCAGTGACTCTGTGCAGACTGGATCAGCAAATAGATGGGTGAAAATATCTAAGACTGTGGCCTGTTTCTGTGAGCTGGCTAGGACATCATATCACTCGACTTGTCATTTGTTGGTGTAAAACCCCGCCTGGACTCACCTGGTCTGTAAACATCTTCAGCCACTCTATTTGGCCAGTGGTGACTTGGCACATATAAATTGGCCCATTTCCGGAGCATTTCGCAGTCCCCACACTGGCAACTGGGAGCAGCTCCCTCTTCAAGCACCAAGGCTTCTTGCCAGCCAGGCCCGGCTTCTCATCTCCCCTGCAAGCATCAAGCTCATACCCTTCTCTGTGCTTTGCCTTTCTTTCTGCTCTCCTATTCCACAAGCCCTGCCACTGCCATTCAAGGGGGATTTCTTAATTACCTACTATGTCTAGGGCACCAGTCCATAATCTAAACTGTGGGTCTCATATTGCCTTTTTGTTTTTTTTGAGACATAGTCTCACTATGTAGCTCAGGGTGACCTTGAACTCACTATGTAGTCCACGCTGGCTTTGAACTCATGGTGACCCTCCTGCCTCAGTATCCCAAGTGCTGGAATTGCAGGCGTGCACCACCATGCTCTGCTGTCTTTATTGTTGCGGATCTGCAAGTCAGGCTTCAGCAGCTTGACTATCAGTTTCCAGAGGGTGAGAGCCTGTGTCTGCTACTAAAACAAAAATCGGCATAGGCATGACAGGTGGGTGATACCTGGTGACTTGCACTCAAGGGATCAACTCGAGCTCCTGTTCCAGGGAAGGACCAGAACAAGGCTAGCATGTCTCAGGATGCCCTGTGGCTCCAGGATGTACCTGTTCACGAGGCTCTCCAGCTCTAGGAGGAGGAAGGCCCAGTGATCACAGCCCTGTCTGCCTCCCTTGTCATCTCTGCCTACACCCACCCCCACCCCTTCCCAAGGCTCTTCCCCTCACTGCGGCTCTGTTGACTGAACAGCTTGCTAATCTGTGTGTCTGCTTATTATTCTGCTTATTTTCTCTGTCTGCTCCCTATGCATTCAACCATGTCATTCTTATCTACTTGTGAATTTCCAAGCAGCAGGAGCTAGCACTAGGCCTCTTGTCCTCATGTGGTTGGCTCAGGAGCCTAATCAGTGCCTCTGGATGTTGACAGCAGTGAGTGGTATTGCACAGTGAGGGCCCAAGTCCCCAGAGATGAGCAGCAGTTGTACTGTGGGATGTGCGGTGCCTTTCCTCTACAGCTCTGAGCATTTGTTTGCCTTCTGTTTCAGGCCCACCTGCCGTTTGCTGTCATTGGCAGCACGGAAGAACTGAAGATAGGCAATAAGATGATGAAGGCGCGGCAGTATCCTTGGGGCACCGTGCAGGGTGAGTCCCTAGCAGATGGGATGCACTCCGAGAGCCCCTGCTGTCTGCCTTTTTCCCTCTTCCAGCCACTGTATGACAAATCCCCAACTTGTCCCAGGCTCTGCTCCTTCAGCTTGGGTCTCAAATAGCCACAGAAGTCACCAGCAGGCAAACTTTGGCTCTGCACCTGGATCCTCTGATGGGAGCCCACTCCCTTTGCCTCTAGTAGAGAAAGCACTCCTAAAACATAAGCAAATGGATTTAGAGCAAGGAAGGAGGGAGTGTGCAAGAAAGCATGTATACTTGCTCAAGGGCACTGGGAATGCATTCGTAGCAGTGTTGTTCAACGTGACAAGTAATTAGAAACAACCCAGATACTGCCAAAAATAGACTGGGTAAATTGTGAGAGAGTCATAAATGACATATCATAAGGCAGTGAAGTTAATGAACTACAGTTACATCTCCATGAGTGAGTCTTAGAAATATAAAGTTGAACTCAATAAATCAGAGAAGAATTGCATGTTTTGAATTCCAAAAGTAGGTGAAGCTAAACAAGATTCAGTATGTATTTTTAGAAATTCATATAAAATCAGTAAAACTATAAAGGAAGTAAAATGGATGCTAAACCCTAAAGTCAAGATAGTGGCTAAGACTCGTTGCCAGGATAAATGAAGATGGGATTGGAAAGGGATGTGAAGGGGCTTCTAAAGTACTAGGAATATTTCACCTGGGTTGTAGAAATGTCAGTGTTAATTTTTTAAAAATTCTTTAAATAGCACACGCATATTTCATACACTCTGCCCTATATATGATTATTTCATGATTTAAAATGAATCAGAGGGTGGGGATTTAGCTCAGTGGTTCTGCCACCTGCCTCAAAAGCACAAGGACCCAAGTTCGATCCCCTGTACCAAAAAAATAAATAAATAAATAAAATAAAGAATTGGATAAGCCTGATGTGGTGGCACACACCTGTAATCCCAGCTACTTGGGAGGCCAAGGCAAGAGGATCACAAGTTCAAGCCCAGCCTAGGCAACTTAGTGAGACCTTGTCTCAAAAGAAAAAAAAAAAGGACGGGAAATGTAGCTCAGTGGTAGAATGCCCCTGGATTCCAATGCGGTATTGCAAAAACAAACAAACAAATAATCAGAGAAAGTTCTTTTTGTGGTCTGCATAACATATAAGTGACCATTGGAGCGGATTGGTGTAGTAGGTAAAACAAAGCCTAGGATTCCGCCATGTGTGGAAGAGTTCTCTGGTCCTCAGGGTCTGCAGATCTCAGGGACATTGTGTGACAGGGTGACAAGGTCTCTGTAAACTCATCCCTACTCTTGGGCAAACAAATAGGAGTGGGTCCGCCTCATATACAAAGGGTGGCATGTTTTAGGGTACACCTGAAACCCACTGTTGATAGCTGGAGTTTATTTTCTTTCTTTCTTTCTTTTTTTTTTTTTTTTGTGGTACTAGGGCTGGAACCCAGGGCTTCCTCCATGCTAGGCAAGTGCTCTACACTGAGCTACACCCCAGCCTGAACTTGCCATAGGTAGGACAATGCTAATTACAGAGCCATGGTAACTTTTGCTCTTCTCTGCCATTTGGGATGGGGATACTCCACTTGGAACATTGGTAATTGGTCCCCAGACCAACAATCCCACTCTGGGAATGAATCTGTGGGAAAGACAGCAACCTAAGGTGAGAGGAGAGAAACCAGCAGATGTAGTTCCAGTGACTTTCTCAAACTGGGTTTTTTGGAAGCTTTTTCTTACAAATCTGAGTAGACTGTTCATTTTGAACGAAGAAGTTGTATATTGCCTGGACAGCCTGCAGAGGCCTTGGATTCAGACCTTCTGATTGACCACCAGAGATCACTGTCCAGAGATGGAGGAGCAAATAGCACATAGCACGGTCCTGGGAAGTTGCCCTGCCAATGGGATTTTTAATACGAACACATTCTGTGATGGTAGGGGGTATCCTAAATGCAATGGGATTGAAAGCAGAGGGGCCCAGTGGGGCTTTAGAAAGACTCCTCTGATGACCATAGGCCATCTACTGCAATCATGCCTGACCCTGGCATCTCACTCACGCCCCTTTCTAACCTCACTGCCCTCTCCCCTGAAAGAATGATTTTGGAGGGCCGGGGATTTAGCTCAGTGGTACCAGACCTGCCTTGCAAGAGCAAGGTCCTGAGTTTGATCCCCGGTACAGCCGGCAGGGGGTGGAATTTGGGATGGCTGATCCTCTTCATCATTTCAGACACCACCATTCCTACAGGGTCAGGGCAACACTACCACCGAGCACAGTGGCACCGTACCCGAGGACACCCTCATAGAGCACTGCTTGCCACCTTCTGTTTCAGCCAGAACTCTACTTTCTGGTGATTTAGTCCACATCTCTGTCATCCTTGACTACTGCCCAAAATGTAGACCTTTGCCATGCTCTCTTGAGGTGGAGACTTGTTTGTTCACACTGGAAAGTTGATTCCACTCTCTCCTAGTCACCACTGCTGCTGTCAGGCACCCTCTGCTGACCTCTTGGGAAGCCTCTACTGCCCAGAGATGGGCCACACCTGTGGACTACCCCCTCTTGTCACTATCACTTATTGATATCCTAGTTCTTTCCCCTATTGTTTGGAGACTTGGTCACCTGGTCATAGCCATTAGCCTTCCCCTACATTGCCTGAGTTCAGATCCTAACTCTGCAACTCACCAGCTAACCAACCTTGCCTCACCTCATAGAGATCGGGCTGGTAAATGCATGTTCTTCCTTCCACAGTCATCTTAGGGGTTGTCTCTGCTGAGGCCTATGCTGTCCCAGGAGTTTGGAATTTGGAGTCTCTCTTCTGGGCTTTCATTGCACCTCAGCTTTCCCTCTACTTTTGTTATTTTTGCATTGTATTAATATTTGTCTATTTATATCTATTCCACGAAACTGTAAGCTTCCGAGAGCAAGATTTCATGACTTTGTTTCTGAATTCCCAGGGTCCCCATATAGAGATTACACTCATATTTATTAGTTTGCATATATGTGTGCTGTTTGTCTACAAAGGGGCACCGGCAGACATTCCTGTGAGGGTCTGATTGATGAATTTGGGGTGAGGGGCTTTTGAAGATCCTTAGATAATTTTTTAAATATTGCAGTTTTTCACTACTGCCATTTTTATAACTTTTCATTTCCATTTTCAGTAGAAAAGCGAATAAGGAGGTAAATTCCCAGACTCTAGATGCCCAATTACAAGGCGATGTCACTGTTAGACTTTTGCCTCATGTCGTCCCGTTGGTGCTTCTGCTGGCCTTCCTTTCAATATACTTTCAATATCCCAACCTCTGCTGTGCAGTTGAAAATGAGGCCCACTGCGACTTTGTGAAGCTGCGGGAGATGCTGATCCGGGTCAACATGGAGGATCTGCGGGAGCAGACCCACACCCGGCACTATGAGCTGTACCGCCGCTGTAAGCTGGAGGAGATGGGCTTCAAGGACACCGACCCTGACAGCAAACCCTTCAGGTACCGCTCCTGTCAGGCAGACCAGGCCAGCCTGGCTCAGCCACCCAGTTGCTGTGGAAGCCTTTTTCCTCGGAGAACCGGCAGGAGAGGCGAGGCGCGGGTGCTAGCTATGGTGGCAGGGTGACTCGCCAGCTCTGCTGCCCCTTCCCCCTCAGCCTCACACACCTGCCAGGAGCACTGCGGGGCGGGGGGGGTTAGTGAGGGAAGGGAGGGGACCTGGAGAAGCAGCATGGCTGATCTCTTGCTGCCCCTCACCCTACACACACGGCAGCTCGGCAGCTCCAGTCAGCTGTACTGGAGTGGAGCCCTGGTAGGGGACCCTGCTCCACAGAGTGGCAGTTAGTAACTGTCCACTGCCCCACTTCCTTGGTCAGGCTCCTGCTGCCCAGGCCCCGGTCTCAAAACCAGACAGGAAGGCTGGGGGTGGCTCAATAGTAGAGCTCTTCCCTAGCACAAGTGTGAGGCTCTCTCTGGGTTCTATCCCCAGCACTGCAAGAACAACAAATAGGCAAACAAATAAAAAACAAGAAAGGTCCAGGTAGCAGTCACTTGGGGACCAAGTAAGAGTTACTTGCCCCATGTTGGTGCAAACAGGCCCTTCATTCACTGTTCTTAGTGTTTCACTTTTGGACACGGGATATGAATAATCATTGATGTATTTCTCAAATCAGAGTCTAAGATGCTCCAGAGAAGGGAAATGTTTTTGAAAGCAGATTATTAAGCAGATGGGACAAAGTTGAAGTGTGTCTGATCTACATGTGTGAAAAATGACATAAGCCCTACATTCAGTGCTGTGTGATACCCTTTATTGTGGCTTGGTCTCCTTTCAGGAAATGTCAGGCATCAGTAAGCAAGTGAGGGGGATGTTTGTGGGCACAGAGGGATTTCAAATGGTCTGAGAGGTCCCACGGTACCTGTTCACAACGGAAAGCTGGCCTGGGGCAAAGCTGCTGGTCCTTCAGGGCTGCTGCTTCAGTTGGGTAGCCTCATGGCCCTGCAGGGACAGGCAGGGCCGAGACCCTGGAGCACCTGGGCAGGAGGAAGGCGTTTTTGTCTCCCTGGTGGGAGCTCCCTCGGCTGTTCCTCTCCTTGCCTCCCCCAGCTTCTGGCTGCCTCTGTGGGGAGGGAGTGTTTCTCTGATTGGCCGTTCAGGCCCCTCCCAATGCCCTTTGCTCCATCCAGCATATCTCTGTTCCTGCATCCTCATCCTCTTCAGTCCTTCTGTGAGGGGCCCCTTTCTGCCTTCCCTGGAAACATTTCCACTCTAAAGACACCCCCTTTGCCCTATTCATCCTTGCCAGCCTCTGCCGTGTCAAAAAGCCAGGACCTGACAGGAAGGAGAAAGAGTTGTTCTATGTTTACCAGCCTCCTTCCTCCTCCCTCGTTTACTTCTGCAGCCCAGTGCAGTCTGGCTTTTTCCCCCAGCACTCCGTGGAAGTGCCTCTCCCAGAGCGGCAGTCACAAACTTTGGGCCAATTTCATTGTGACCTTTGAGTCCCATTGTGTTTGATCTTAATGTGCAACACTTAATACTATTCCCCATTGCCTCCTTCTTGTGCTACTATCTGGCCTCGGCTTTTCTAGTACTGACCTGGCTGGTTTTATTCCTCTCTCTACCTCTCCTCTCGCTATTCCTTCTCAGCCTTGTTTGCAGGTGCATTACTTCTTTAAATGTTCCTAGAGTCTCTGCTCCTCTCACTCTGTATTTTCTTTGCAGCTGCTTCTTTCTCCTTTTAAAGCCCTAATTATCTCCTAGAAGTAGATAACTTGCAAGCTAAAATCTTTTTTTTTCCTGGTACCGGGGATCAAACTCAGGACCTTGCCCTTGCGAGACAGGTGCAGTGCCCCTGAGCTAAATCCCCAGCCCTCACAAGCTAAAATTTTACTTTTGAGCTGTGAATCCATTGACCCACATACATACTAGACATTTCTACCCAGACATCCCATAGAAGCCTCACCTTAAACTTGAGCTCTTCATGGTCAGATTCATCTTCTTAACCTCTTGAGTGTTCTCTTTCTCCAATGTTCTCCATTGCACTTGATGGTACCACCATTCACTTGCTTTTCCAAGCCAAAAACTAGAATTATCTTTGGTCTCTCCCTAGTCCTGCTTCTCCTGTTTCTGCAGCTCCCTCCATTCCCTGCTATCCCTTCACACAGAGACCCTGCCATTTTGTACTGGAACTGTTGGGAAGTGTCGCCTTCACAAAACAGCCAGAGTGGTCTTTCTTACTTTCTGGTTGGATCCAGTCAGTTCTGCTTAAACTATGCAGTGTGTCATCATCTAGTTCTTTCATAGGGCATCTAAAGCCTGCCCTCTCCGGCCAGACTCTGGAACCTCCCTTCCCCTTCTCCTCAGCTTTCTCGGCCTTCTCCAGCTGTGTTGCATCATGCTAGCTCCCCAGGAAGGCCATTCTCTCTCCACATGTGCCTTCACACGTGCTGCCCTCTGTGGACACCAGTCCCCCTTCTTCCTCATCAGGCCAACTCCTGTTTCTTGAATGGTAAATCAAGGACAGGGGCAGGGGGCCTACCCAGGCAGCTGTTGGCTATAGGTGATAGGCCACTAGAATAGTGTCGGTTAAGATTGCGTCTGGTGCAGGGTGGAGACTCGGAAAGTGTTGGTGAAAGTGGTAAGATAATGCAGGCAGTTTCAGAACCAGGGCCTGGCAGTATAGTTCCGTGGGAAGGCCCAGATGAAGAAACAGGAGATCCAGCTTCTGGTCCCAGTGCTGCCTCAAATTAGCTGTGTGATCTTAAGTGAGTCACTTTACCTCTCTGGGTCTCATGTGCAAAGTGAGGGTATAAACCCAGATTTCTAAGTCTTTCCAGTTCACCAGGGTTGCTTCATACCAGTCAAGCAGCCCTGTGATCCTGCTCTCATGTGCCAAAGTGAATGCCCATTACTTTTGGGGTTCCGTTTTTGCTATCTCTGTCTGGAATTGGAGAAAGGAGGATGGCAGAGCACAGAGGAGGATGCTTGGGGCCAGTTTTCATTGAGGAGCCAGCGAGTGTGAAGGAATTAACATGAACATGTTCGCAGTTTACAGGAGACGTATGAGGCCAAAAGGAACGAGTTCCTAGGGGAGCTGCAGAAAAAAGAAGAGGAGATGAGACAGATGTTCGTCCAGAGAGTCAAAGAGAAAGAAGCAGAGCTTAAGGAGGCAGAGAAAGAGGTAAATAATGAGGCTGAGTACAGGCAGGAAGGAAAGGGAGGCTGAGCTTGGTGCGGAAGTCCATGAATGGGGATTTGGCCTTGGGCGGGGGCTTGCAGCCTTGGGCAGGAATGGCCAGAGGGGACTATGAAATCCGTGTGTTCTTCACGTCTTCATTCCCTAAGGTCAGAATATTTTTTCGTTTTGATACTACTTTTCTAGAGCCTCTCCATCCAGTATGGTAGCCAGCGTGTGCTGTGTGTGGCTATTTAAATTGCTGTGAGGTTTTCTTTCTTTTTTTTTTTTTTGTGCCAGGGATTGAACTCGGGTCCTTGCGCTTGCAAGGCAGGCCACCGAACCGCTGAGCTAAATCCCCAGCCCTGTTGTGAGTTTTTAAAGTATTTATAATTGATAGATAATAATTGTACATATTTATGGGGTGCCACACGTTTGAATATATGTTAACGTTGTGGAATGATTAAATGAAGCTAGTTAACAAATCTGTCACCTCATATGCTTATTGTTGTTGTGGTGGAAACATTTAAAATTACTCTTTCAGCAATTTTGAAATATACAATACAATAAATTTATTTATTAGTTGCCGAAAGGGGGTTGAACCCAGAGCCAGATGTTCAAGTGACTCTGTAGCACTGAGCTACATCCTCGGCTCTTTTTTATTTTTAATTTGAGACTGGATTTCACTGAGTCACCAAGTTGCCCAGGTTGGGCTTGAATTTAGGATCCTCCCATCTCAGCCCCCCAGAGTTCTGGGATTATAGACATGGATCACCACTGTCAACCAATACACAATAAAATTTAAAACTCAGTTCCTCAGTCTGAGGCACATTTCAATGCTTACTCCTCTTGTAGCTAGTGTCTATTATCCTGAACAGCACGAATACAGAACATTTCCAGCATCACAGTAAGCTCTGTAGGTCAGTACTGATAGAGTCAAGCCCTTGTGGTCAGGGGCAGGCTGACTTGTTTTTCTGTCCTGGGAATCCGGAGCTCTGCAGGGATAACTGCTGCCTCTCTAAACTGCCTTGTCCCATTCCACTTTCTATGACGGCCATGAGGAAATTTGGTTCTAAGGAGTCCTGGGTACTTTGCTCAAAACTAAAACAGCAACAGTTGGGGCATTTCCAATTCACTTGGATATTTGGTTCCATTTCAGAGTTGAGGAAACATCTTTGCAGCTCTAGTGAAGTTTTAAAATGAGGTGCAATGGTCCTGCTTAAACATGTGCAATTCACCCTCTAATCCATGGCCTTGCTTCCAACATCCCAGATTAATTGGCATGAGGTATAGTTTTGGTCATGTCAGCTAGTGCTTTACAGTTCTGGGCCTCAAAACGATCAACCACAGGAAGGAAAGCACTTAATTACTTCCCAAGTCTCTTCCACCTTTAATCTACCATGACCCTGGAGGGATATCACCAAGGCCTATGGCAAGGCTATTTATTTTATTTCAGTTTCACTTTTATGGAGAAAACATCATCACCCAGCATCTTTAGGAGGAGAGGCCATGGGGTGGGGCTCAAAGATAAATGAATTAAAGTTGCAATGAAGTAAAGCCAGGTGAAAGTATCTGATGGGCAGGGAAGTGATGCCCCTACCCCAAATGACTAGTAAAAGCTGATTTGGATAGTAAGCCTGTCATTCCCCCTACCTTACTGAGTGACAGTCTCAGGTATCCATAGGAATCAGGGAACTGATCTGCTTTTTATGCACTGCAGGTGTTGCAGGATTCTAAATTTTCTCCTGAATTCTCAAAAGAAGGTGAAATTATGCTAAGTCTGCTCTTACTGGTCAGGGAAGTTTACATATTCTATGCTTCTTGCTCTCTGATTGAATGAGTGCCAGAACACACTTGCTTTTCTTTGGGTAGCTGCTCTTTTTCAGGACTAGTGAAGCCTTCCCTCGGGTTAAAATTGAGATTTCCACACTTACCCTATTTCCTTTGACCAGCTTTGCTATTGCTGGAGTTTTCTACGTGATCCATAATCAGCTTCCTGATTGCAGGGGATAAGAAAAGGCTGGAAACTGTGGGAGGCTGAGGCATAAGGATTACAGGTTCAAGGTTGGCCTAGGAAACTTAGCAAGTTAGTGTGACCTCATTTCAAAATAGGAAAGAAAGGAGAGAGGGAAGGCAAGAAAGGGAAGGAAGGAAGGAAGGAAGGAAGGAAGGAAGGAAGGAAGGAAGGATGGCAGACAGGCAGGCAGACAGACAGAAAGAAGGAAAGAAAGAGAGAGAGAAGCAAAGCAAGCTGGGATGTTTGAAGGCCCTGAATTCAATCCCTGGTACCACACACACACACACACACACACACACACACACAGAAAGAGAGGAGAGAAAGGGAAAGAACCCTTTCCATGTTGGGAATGCCATTTTATGATCACTTGGGAGTTTGAAGCAGGAGGGTCATAAGTTCAAGGCCATCCCGGGCAACTAAGTGAGACCCCATCTCAAAATAAGAAAATAGGGCCGGGGATTTAGCTCAGTGGCTCCGTCACCTGCCTCACAAGTGCAAGGTCCTGAGTTCAATCCCTGGTATTAAAAAAAAAAAAAGAATAAAAAGGGCTGGGGATGTAGGTCAGTGGTAGAACATTTGCCTAGCATGTGTGAAACTCTGGGTTCAATCCCTGCCCAGCAAAAAAAAAAAGGGATTGAAAATGAAAAAGATGAAATAAATATTTTATATGGTTTTACTAAAAAATAAGACTCATCTATCTGGTTACTTAGTTTACAAATTTGAATTATATTTATTGAAACATGACATACTGTGCTCTTAGCTTATACCTCAGTTGTATTTTGTGCTGTTTTCCATTTTCATGCCTTGTAAATAACTTGTATAGATTGTGGGTCAAATTCCAAATAAAAACTTTTAATGCCAATCAGGTACTTATAAAACTCAGTGTTGGGCTGTAGCTCAGTAATAGAGGACTTGTCTACCATGCATAAAGCCCTTGATCCATCCTAGCACTGCAAAAAAAAAATAATAATAACAATACAAATTATTTTTTAAAAGTCAATGCTTGGCCTGTCATATGCACTTGGTAGTAAGTATTATGAGTGACATTATTATTATTAACCATATAAAATAACCATGGGGATTCATTTAAAAATATTTGATTAGGCAGAACGTACTATTCCTTTACTACTTCAGGCACAGAGATTTTGAGACAAGATGACAGGCGAGAGAGCTGCCCACAGCAGGGTGCCCTTTGGCACTGTCATGGTAGCCCCTGGCAGAAATGTCTCCTGAGGTCCCAGGGTCCTACAGGGTTGTAACCCTGCCTTTCTCCCAACCCTGGGCTGGGCCAGACTGAGGGCTGTTCGTGGAGGACTCTACAGGCTTTTTCTGGCTTTTCTGTCAGCTGCATGAGAAGTTTGACCGTCTAAAGAAACTGCACCAGGATGAGAAGAAGAAGCTGGAGGATAAGAAGAAATCTCTGGACGATGAAGTGAATGCTTTCAAACAGAGAAAGACTGCGGCTGAGCTCCTCCAGTCTCAGGGTTCCCAGGCTGGAGGCTCACAGACTCTGAAAAGAGACAAAGAGAAGAAAAAGTAAGTAGCAGGCTGCGATGGGGTGGTGGGCTTCTTGCTCCTCCTGCTGTTCATCCCCCTGGGACAGGATCTGTAGGCTGAAGGAGATGAGGTCAGTTAGAGGAATTTGAGTACCTGTACCTGGTCTCAGTGTCCTTGGGGGACCTTTGGATTCCCTGAGTTAGGGTTGCTGAGAGTAAAGTAGGTACATGGTCTTCAAGGCCCAGCCTTTCCATTCAGCACACTTAGGAAAGCTCTGCAAACTTCAGGGGGTGGTGGAAGAAGGGAAAGGAGAAGAAAAGCAAAGCGAATGTGAAAGTACATGGAAGGAGGAAATGGTAAACAGTGCAGAGGTAGAAGAAAGAGAGGAACAAAAGGGCACATACAGGGTAGTGGAAGAAAGAGCCCTTTAACAGAAGCCTCTGGGCAGCCCCTGGAGCTGGAGCTGGCACCAATGTAGCATATGGGCCCACCTACTGGCCCTGTGCCCACCGTGGCTCGCCTCTTCCAGCCCTTGCCAAGCCTCAGTTGTCACTAGGTATGGCCAACAGAATTGACCTGCTGCCACTGAAGGCTACAGCCCAGCCCTGATTTCCCAGGCCTTTACTGTCTGTCCCTGCTGGCTCCTTAATGGTGCCCAGCCTGGGGAACTTAGAACTTATTGGGGAACCTTCAGATGCCAGTGTCCTCTGGGTACCCAATCCTTAAGCTGGAGGCATTATTTTAAAACTAATCTATCTCCCCTGGTATTTGGCGAGGCAGGATAGCATAAGCTCCTGGTTACCATTGGGTCAATAGTCTGGTCCCCACCTCCGTCTCTGCTCGATGAAGTTATCCATTCCTCGTCTCAGAACCAGAGAGGAGAAAAGCACTTCTGACCAGACCTGCACAACACCAGGAAAATGTCCAGGCATCCCCTGGTACTCTGTAGTTGTTTGCACACTGTGACTCAAGGAACTCCCAGATGGAGGGTTTAGTAGTGCACTTACCAAAGGGTTTTTTGGATCCAAAAGATGTCTGTGGGCCTTGCCTTCTGTTTTTAGCCACTTGTTTGTGGACTCAACTTTTGGATTCTTGCCAGAAAGAAGAAACATCTTCCTTTCATCAGTGCCTGGCTTGTCACTTAGGAATAACACAGTGATTTTGTATACTGTAAAATATTTTATATTTGGAAGCACTTAGTTTTGCAATCCATTTATTCACATTTGACTAACAAATGTGTAGTTTGAACATTTTCACTAACTGGTCCAGAAATTTTCATTACTGAATCTTAACGCTAAATGTCAGCTTCATTGATGAATTAACTTTTTTGATATTACCTGATGGATAAAGTTCAACTAGCCAAATGAAAGGCTCTTTGGACACACCATATATTAATTTATCTCTCATGGTGTATCAGTTGTACCAGCAGGAACGGATTCCTCTTTTTAAGATCAGAAAAATCTAAATTTATCTTTCAGCTCTTACCAGCTGCCTTTATAGTCTTGTGGTATTTGTTAACTCAATCTCTGGGGCAGTTTCACAGACTGCTTGCAGGAATTAGGAGATTACATAGTTTGTTTAGACCACACTAACATTAAGCTATAAACATTCCCTCTTTAAGATATTCGGTGAAGCCGGGTGTGTTAGTGCACTCCTGTAATCCCAGCACTCAGGAGGCTGAGGCAGGAGGATCGCTGTGAGTTCAAGACCAGCCTGGGCTTCGTAGTGAGTTCCAGGGCAGTCTCAACTACGCAGTGAGACCCTGTCTTAAAAAAACATCACTCCTCACTCCTGTAATCCCAGCACTCAGGAGGCTGAGGCAGGAGGATCGCTGTGAGTTCAAGACCAGCCTGGGCTTCGTAGTGAGTTCCAGGGCAGTCTCAACTACGCAGTGAGACCCTGTCTTAAAAAAACAAAAAACAAACAGAAAAGATATTCGGTGAAAGCTCCTCTCAGACCAGGCTTTCCCCTTGTTGCTTCAAATTGACTGGCTTCCCTCTGAACCCCAGCCAGAAGACCCTGTATAGGGTGGCACTTCTCTCCATTCTCCAGAGAAATTGGGGATTGGTGAGAATGCCCAGTTCTGAGATGGGTAAAATCCTTGCTGAAATGTGGCACCTCATATTATCAGTAAGCACCTAGCAAAGTAGCCTGTCCTTTTCTATGCTTCCAGATGTACAAATGACCCCAGGTCTGGGCTCCTTATGTAATTTCATGAAGAATCAGTGAACTTCTGGAAGAACCACTGTTAAACCTGTGCCACTCTGCTCCCATAGTGATGGTGGTGGGCTTTAAGCGTAGACATGGTGGTTGTAGCAGTTCTTGAGAGATGGTGGTTGGATCCAATAGTCACATACTGGGAATTTCCTTTGGCTGGCTTTAAATAGATCAAAAAACAGTACAGTGTTTTGGGGGTTCCTACCAGTCTCTCTTCCCTCCATCCCTCCCTTCTCCTATCTCTCTTGACCTCTAACTCTTCATTGTTTGTGTCAATTCATAATATTTTATTTCTCTCATGCTCACTCCATCTTCATCAGCTCTTACTGTTTTACAGTTAACTCTGCTGTTTGCTGCATGCTGCATGAGACCCAGGGTCCTGGTAAGCTTTATTAACTCTAAGTAGACCTGGAAATGGCTTCTAGAACATAACTCCCCAAACCCTGCACCCCCTACACACATATCTCATCAAAAAAGAAATGGCTTCACTGGGGTAGCTGGTTTCCTCTTGTGACTTCCAGTGTGAAGAAATAGCCTGGTATGGTTTCAGGTGTACATGGTGAATGCCTGCCTGCCTGCCTGATCAAAGGGACAGTTTTCAGATTTCTGCTAGTAGAACAGTTAAGTAGCATAGGTGGATCCTGTGATCAATATTTCAGGCTTCAATTTGGGCTGTTTTTCCCTCTAAAGAGCAATAATGATTACTTTCAAAATTAACTGTGGTGATACAAGAAACCATCCTGAAGTTACAAGCCTGCTCCTGCAGTATTCTGGTCAGCATCGACCCTCAGGTTTGGGAGTAGTCAGAGCCAATGGAAACTTGCATCTCTCTTTTCCTCTGGTGGCTGTTTCTTATCTGAGGGGCTCAGGTTCTCCAGTTTCCTTTGGCTATGTACTTCCCAAAACCATGATCAAAGTGGAAGAAAATGAAGAGACTTCAGATATAAACAATTCTACAAGTGCCAGCTTCATGCAAACCTGCTAAGGATGCAAGCAGATAACCTTTGGTAAGAAGAGGGTTAGGTGTTGTGTCTACAGAAGTAAATAAAGCAGTCCTTGGCATCACATAGCTTCTAGGGAGACTGAAGGTAGTGATTATAGAGAGTTTACAGGGAGAAAGCAGCGATTTTTATCTACTCTGCTAGATTCAGGTAGTAGACAAGGAATATAAATACTTTAAATTTAACATAATTTGGCTTACTTATTATTTTAAAACTTTACCATGGCAACTCTCAAATATTAAAAAAAATAGTATAATGCAGCTCCATGTACCCACAACCCAGACATCAAATAGCTGTTAACATGTCTAATCCAGTCAGGCTTGGTGACACACACCTGTAATCTGAGCACTCTGCAAGGCTGAGGCAGGAGGATTGCAAATTTGAGCCCAGCCTAGGTGATTTAGTGACTTAGTAATTCCTTGTCTCAAAAAAAAAAATTCATAAAGTGTGAGGGATGTATCTCGGTGCCCAGTACCACAAACAAAGCAAAACAAAAAATATCTGGCCAATCTGTTTCATCAGTTACCCCCACCTGCTGGATTCTTGTACGGCTAAACCTATATAATTTCATCTGTGTATATGCTAGTATATAGCTCTGAGATAGTGACTCTTAAAAAAATAACTGCATGCCCACTGTTATACCTATAAAATTAACAATTCGTTAATATAAAATGTCTAATCAGTATTTGAAATGCCCCTGTTGTCTCATAAATTCCTTTTTACATTTGGTCTGTTTGGATTGGAGAATATGAACTGTTGAGAAGACTTCTCCCCACTCACCCATGCAGTTTATGAGTTAGTTGGAGAGCCTGCAGCGAGTCACCAAACTGATTGCTGCAGCTATTGCACTGGGGACATTGGACAGCTGGTGAAACATCCTACTTTCAAGCAAATCCCAAAGAGGAAATCCATAGAGGCTTCTGGAACAAAAGGCCCATGAAACTGGGCCAAAAGAAACCATCCTAAAAAAAGAATGTGATGATTTACTATATGGCTTACAGGCAAGGCTCAGAGCCCCTGCTGGCTGACTGGAATTAAACAGCAGCTCTCCATTTAGGAAGACTATAAATTTCTAGACTATCTGTGCACTGCTGAAGTCCCAGTGCCTAGCAAAGCATCTGCCACACAGTAGGAGTGTAGCTCTTACAGCTTTTCATTGTTTCCCCAATTTCACCAAGGAGAGTAGGAAAGACGTATTCTGATGAATTTGACTTCAGTTAATTTAGGTTTCGTGCATGGCTTGACAGGATTTCATTTAGGTTTCCCTGAGTCCATCATTGTTAGTGGCCACTCTTAAAATGAATTCTAGAAAAGCTGTGATTAAATGCACACTTTACAAATAAGAGGCAACCTATAGACCACTGGAACAGCCAACCCCAACACCAAGTAGGTTGGCTTTTCTTGGAGAGTTTCCCCTAAGTAGGCCACAAAAGCATTTCTAAAGGAACTAATCGGGGAGGCATTGGCTTCCCAGGACCTAAGAGCAGCAGAAGCAACTACTTCCTCCCCAGAGCCCTCTGAGGGGTGGATCATAACGGCCACCTACAGTGCAGCCAGAGTGAGGCTTACTGTTCCTCTCTAGCTTTGACCTTCCTTGAGGTGCTAATTGCAGCTGTCTGTAACTGTAAAAGAAATTCCTCTGTAACTCAGCTGCAGATACTGTGTTGCGATGGTTATTGGTCCTTTGGGTACACAGCATATGGACAATATACACACTATCAAAACATCACTGCCTTCCTAGGAAGTTGGGAATGTAGGTTATTGCTGTGATTTTTTTTTTTTGGTTACTCTTCCCCTAGGAAGTAGACAAAGAAAAAATTAAAGAGGCAAGCATTTATATAGCATTTATTGATTACTTTTCAAAACATTCTTCTATATAATAGAAATTCTGAGAGGTAGTGGAGGGAAAGATGTAAGGGACTTACCAAGGATTGCACAGTGAGCTTGTGGCAGAACCACAACCAGAACACAGAAGTTCTCATTCCTGGTATAAACTGCATTCACTGGATGGGTGCATATGTGTACCTATCTCCAAAGTTTGTGTGTGCGTGTGTGTGCACGTGTGTGTATATGCGCGTGCGTTGGAGGGTAGATGTATTCACTTGGAGGAAATGAAACACATTTTCCTTTATGTATACACTTTTAGGTAACTATACTCTGAATATTTAATAGCCCTTATTTAATGGGATAAATGTATTCTCTAAGTAATAAATGGGCTTAGATCCACAGCCAAGGAATTCTTGGGATATTGCTATGATGAGGAGAGTCTTCATTAATTAATTAAACAGCCCTTACCCTAGCTGTGACACTTGCTTTGTGCCCACAGACAAGTCAGTTGATTTCTCTGTGTTAGTCTCTTCATATGTGACATAGGGATCAATACTACTCGCCTTATGTGTGACGTGCGGAAGAAGTTTAAATGGGAGAAAGGTCAAAGAGCTCTGTGACCACAAACCAATCATAGGCTTCTATAGTTCAGCTTTTCAGGTACCTGGGTCTGGACCCATCCAGCAGACACTTGGCGAACAGGTCTTGCCCCAGAGTACCAGCTAGCTGGCTAGGCCTACTTCAGAGGATGCCTGAGTTGAAACCAACCTCTTCTGCTCTCTCTGTGGAATAAAGAAGTGCAGGGGCCGAGAGCTTGGTGCTCTATGCAGTGGCCTAAGGCCACTGGAGACTTGCTGAAAGTCTTCCTGCCACAGGTATCTGGGCTGGGGTGAGCATTAGGACCTAGTAATCAAGAAGAGATTTTTAAAAGTATTTTTGTGGTTGTTGATCACTTTTTGCTGCCTAATGCCATTACTTCTGCCATTTAGGAATAGGGGGGTACATGAGAGAGAAAGTATCTTCCCACGAGCCAATTCGGTAAAATCTTAAGACCATTTAACATAGCTATAGTCTAATTTATCCATTAGTCATTATGACCCACACAATTTTCTTCTGAAAATATTTTTAGTATATTAATCCATCTGTTCATTAACCCAACTTCTCTTTTCATTTTCAGTTTGGGCTTCCTGTAGACGCACCCTTTCCTGTGCAACAGAGCTGGGCCTCCCTTTCCCTAATTCCCCCTTAACACGTCTAGAGGGCCATACAACCCCTGCCCTCTACTCATTCCTGGCAAAAGTTTATAGACACCTGAGAGTCAGAGGATGATATCTGTCCTCTGGTCAAGAAGCCAGCAATCACATGGCTTGGAGATGCATCCCACATCTGAGTCCTCCCCCTAGCACCCTAAGCAGTCCATGCCCTTCTCAACCCCATCCTTACCAGACTGTAACATGTTACTGCTACTCCTCACCACCAGCTTCCCATTTCAAACTCTCACTGCTGCCTGTTTCCCTAAGGTATCTGCATTCACCGTGGCTGGATAAGCACCCGCCAGCATGGCTGTCTCCTTAAGACTCTGCGTCCCAGACACTGGTCCTCCCTGACCTCTCCCCAATCCTAGAAGCCACAGCCCCTTCTCAGAGGGCTCTGGAAAAATGCCTTTCCCTTCCGGGCTCTTAGCTCAGCCCTTTCCAGCTTTCATTCTCTCAGAGTAACCATAATCAAGTTGTGTTAAAAGATGGTGACAAATTTATTTGTACCAAGCTCTTCCCATAAAACACGATTGCTGGAGCAAACAGCATACATTTTCCTTCTCTATCCCTGGGTACCCCATAGGTGCAGGAGGGAGAATAAACCTGAATATTGTTACCAGCCTAGAGTCTTGAGCAATAGGCTTACAGAATTTGGAAGGGGGGTTAACATCTCCTTGGTCACTTTCCTGGGGCTCCCTGCCATACTAAGGAGGTGAGGCCAAACTGACTGGTCAAAGAATCCGGTGCTTGGGATTTGCTGAGATGAGTCTTCTGTCTGTTTGGTGGCTGTGATAATGATTTTAATGTGCATTTTGCATGCATCACCAATAAGAGGTGTGACTGTCAACTGGAGGGAAGAAAAGAAGTGTTAGCCCTTGTCTCTTGTCTAAGGGTTTCATATTTTTGCAATATTCCAGCTCTAATTTTTATAACAGGTCCCCTGTGACAGTGGCTTTGGGAACCCCTTTGAAGTAGAAAGCTTCCATTGTCAGGGCCCTGAGGCACAGTGGCCTGTGGCATTTGGCCAGCAACAGAGCGAGAATTGGAGGCTGGAGGCGACCTGGCAATGATCTGTGGCTAATAGCCGTCTCTCTGCCCTTCCTTTGCAGTAATCCATGGCTGTGTACTGAATAGTATCCCCTGCTACAGCTGGACTGGACTTCACTTAGCTTTTTAAGCGAAGGTTCCTATTCTAACTGACAGCCTTTCTTTGGGGTGTCAAGCAGCCGGGTCCCCTACCCCTGCTGTGTACTTCAAGCCCCACTTCTTTTTGAGTTGTGCGACTTGCTCCTGCCTCCTAGTCCCACTGGCACTGACCATGACCTTCATTTTTCTTTTTTGAGGTTGTTTTGTGATTACTTCCTTTTAAAACACAGTCACACAAGGCCATGCCAAATTCCCAGGCCTTTTTGAAGTATTGAGAAAGGGGAAGGAATTACTTTCTTCAATAATAGATAATACTAGGAAGCAAAAAGTGAAAAGAAAACAAATGCACATGCATTCTCTTTTCTTGTTGGCAAAGCACGAATACAGTTCTGATATTAGTATGTCTTGGTTGGTGATTCACTGATTGGTTACTGGCCAAACACAAGCCAGATTCTTGAGAAAATCCAAGTCAACATGGAGCAGTTGAGGAGACCCTGCGTTTAGAGGTAAAAGCAAACAAACCACCACCACCACCACCAGTAAAACCCACAAAACTAAAACCAAAAAAAAAAAAAAAAAATTTAGAGCTGTTAGGTCTCCATGGGAAAGGCTTCTTGTTTGCAGCTTTGATGTTTCTAAATCCACCTTCTCAGATTACCAACCAGTAATCACCAGCCCCCTGGATAATTACTTCCATTACAAGCAGGGGGCCCCTTATTTGTATTTGTTTACAGATTACTTGAGGTTTGAGGATCTCAAAATACTTCCAAAGTATTACAGCCACACAGCTTATGACTTTCAGATACTAAAGAATTTTCTATTAAAGGGAGAAGTTTTGCTCAGTAAGACAGCATCTACTTAAAGCTGTAAGAGGAAACAGACTCAGAGAAGTGAAGGGACTTGCCTAAGGTCACACTGCTGGGTCTTGGCAAAAGCCAGGATAAATTCCATGTGTCTAGATACCCGATCCATTTCCTCAAGGAGATCCATCTGCTGTATATGTCCCCGGAAGCAAGATCTTTTGATGAAACCAGGTAGTCAAGTGTTAGAGGACCCTTGAGGAACCCCCCCCCCCGTAGGAAAAAATAATATGAGGTTGGGGCAAGTGGGGCCAGGCAGGGGAAAGGCTCCAGGCCAGGTCTTTAATTTAACCAAGTGCTGCAGTTAAGAGGAGTCAAAAGGGCCTTTTAACTGGTCAGTCTGGACTGAGCCCAGGCTAGTGTGCATTTAACAGGTGCCCTGGGTGATCCTTGTAGTCAGGGGATGTTTGGTAAACAAAAATCTAACCTGTGAGTGAATACAAGGCCTTTAAAAGTCAATCAAGCCTATTAAAATAATCCAAATGCTTATTTCATTGGCTAGCTTTTCTCACGGAAGACTGAAAGGATTTTTTTTCCTTCTTTACTGAAAATGCTTTTAATTAGTAGAGTTGTTACCATTTTTTAAAACCCCAAGTTCTCTGTTTACTTTTGGTGAAACAAAACCAGTCATTAGAAATGGTCTGTGTTATTTTCCCAGACTGTAATAGCTTTTCTGAAACACACACACACACACACACACACACACACACACACACACACCTTAATTTCTCTCAAGCCAAGAAGTTTGCTTTCCTCAGATGCAGTGTGGATCACTTTCTGTTTATTGTTTTAATATTTGGCATTTACATGTGACTGTTGAAATGTGCTTGTTTTTATTAAAACAAGAAACTTTAAAATTGGTGTGTGGTATTCTTCAAATCTCCTCAGCAGATTTTCCCTTAGTGATGGCCCACTGGTGACTATTTCTAACCTGTCTTCTGAAATTATAATCTCTCCTTCCTCATACTGCCCACTCCCTCCCCGTCTTTGAATGTCCTTTTTCTTTGGCTAATTTCATGTTCTGTTTCTCTTTCTCTCTCCCTCTCCAGCTTTTTTTAATCTTATCTTCAGCAGCTGCACTAAGTGTAAAGGAGAAGACTGCCATTATAGAAGAGTTAGGGTTCCATATTGTCTCAAACCAGAAACCAACCAGTTCCTTCTCCTCTCAAACTGTTCACACATATACATGCACATAACACACTCAACAAATGTACATGTGTCCCTGTGTCCAGGCAAGAACCTCTCTTCTGACTTACATGGTATTTTAAAGTGAAGTGTCTTGTCACAAACTAACAAGGCAGGAAAAGAATCATCAGAGCTGGAAAATGGACCAAATGTAACCTCAGAGAGACAACTGCAGGACCATTCACCCGAATGTAAGTGACTGGGGCAGGAGACCTCAGCTGTGGGTGTTGAAGTGCTGTTCACAAGGTTTTGTTTGAGTTTTACGCTTTTAAAAAAATTCCCAGGTTCAATGTGTCAACTGTCTTCGGCCACTATTAAACATTTCTGAATATGGAAGAGAAAGTTAAGTGATACTTGCATCTTCAGCATTCCCAGGAGAAAAGGAGAATATCCCTGGAAAGGGTGAAAATGGATCCACTATCTAACATTCAGGTGGAGAAAGGAGCCTAGAGCAAAATTATTTCTTTGAGACTTACAAGGCCATTGAGGTTTCTGTTCAACCTGGGACCTGGAGGGAGAGTTTCAATGTTGATAAATCTGCTTGAGTTATGGGCTTAACTTGCATCGGAATACCATGTAAGCCTGCTCATTCCCATAGATCTCTACCACCATCACCACCATGCTGCTGTCCAGTGTCTCTAGAGAGGCTCTTTGCATGTTTTCCAGAATCTGTTTGTTTTCCCTTCTCCTCTGTTCCTTTTGCTCAAAGGTGTGACCTTCCCGGGCTTTCATTTTCCAAGAGAAACATCCCAGAACCAGCACTGTTTAGATTGATACCTTTCTAATGTCCATGTCAATTTTCAATAAAACTCAAAGAAATGCTAAATGGTTCTGTGGTCTGATCCTAAATTATTTGATGACGCCGCTTCCCATGATTTGTTTTACAAGGAATAGGTGGCTGCCTCCCAAGTGGGTTATTTAGGGGGCTCACAGAAACACCATCAGACCACAAAATCTTCCAAGGTGAGTGGCAATGTGCCCTCTTTTCCTCACTTCGGGTCTGAAGTTCCCACTAGAGCAGGGTGGGTGTGAGCTGGAATTCTTCTACTTTTCCTTTATCAGACTGGGTTTAATCAATTGAGCTAATTATCATAATAGACTGTGAGGAAGTAAAGTAGCAGATCATACAGAACAAGATTCGGGTGAATTTTAATTCTGGCTGGGAAAACACTGTGCTGTGTGCCTTCTTTCATGTAATGCAGTGCTGTGAACATCCTCAAAATTCATGGATGTGACTTCTTTATGACTCGAAAAGCATTCTATAGATACCAAGTAGTACTATTTTGTGTCCTTGAGTCTACCAGAAAGGGAGCCCCCCCCCCCCCGGCATTAGAGCGGGCCTGAGGGAGAATGGTAGTTTTCTGAATTCTGGTTGCAGCAAAGGTGGAGTTTCCTTCCCTCGGCTTCATTTCCCTAATGGCCTGATGCTGAAGGCTGGAGAAGCGGTTCGCATCCACCTACGGAAGCCTGGAGGCCTCTGCAGGGTGTACCAGAGGAAACGGCGTTGGCCTGCCTCTGCGCAGCTCTCACACTAGAGGGCAGCCGAGAGAGGCAATGCTCGTTTGTGACGTTACAGGGGCCGGTGCTTGAGTGCACTGGAACAACAGACCCGGACCAGGCTAACTTGCTTTTCCTGCGCTCACGGGCAAGTTGTGTTAACAACTTCTTTAGAAAAGGAGAATATCAATGACTCCTTCGCAGAGCCATTATGAAGGCAACCTGGGCTAATGTAAGTGAAAGAAATAGGATCTCTTATTAAGGGATGGGATTTTCCCTGTATTAGAAAGTACTCACTTTACGGACCTCTAGTCCTGGATTTCTCTACTTCAGTGCTATGGACATTTGGACCAAAGAATGTGTGGGGCTGTCTTAGGTAAAGGATGTAGCAGTATCCCTGGCCTCTGCCTACTAGATATCAGTACACATCCCAACCCTGAACAGGTGTGACAACCAAAAGTGTTTTCAAAATAACTGGATGTCCCCCGAAGGGCAAAGTCATCCCATGTTGAGAACCATTACTTTACAGAATTTTTCTGTAAAGAACCAGCTAGTAAATATTTTGAGCTTTGTAGGCATTACAATCTCAGCAACCATTCAACTTGTCACTAGCGTGAAAACAGCCATAGATAATACATGAAAGGGTGTGGCTGTGCACCCATAAAACTTGACTTTACACACTGAAATTTGAATTTCATATATTTTTTCATGTATTCTGAATGTCTTTGGATTTTGGAGGGCGGGGGTTGAGACAGGGTCTCACTATGTAGTTGAGACTGACCTGGAACTCACTATGTAGTCCAGGCTGGTCTTGAACTCACAGCAATCCTTCTGCCTTGGCCTCCTGAGTGCTGGGATTACAGGCGTGCACCACCATGCCCAGCTTTATATTTTTAACCATTAAAAATGTGAAAAATATTCCTGTAATAGCAGGAGAGTCATACAGATACAGGCAATGGAATCAGATCTGGCCTGGCAGCTACAGTTTGCTGACTCTGTCTATGATAGCATTTCAGTGCTAGTTTATGCATCGTCAGACCTAAATGTGTTAGAAGCAACAGCCTCTCAAAAGAAATTGGAGAAGGTGACACACTGCTGGAGTTTGAATACAAATTTTCCGGGAAATGGGTTTGAATTTACTGCAATTTTCATAAAGTTTTGCTAGAAAACAGATGAAGGCCACAGGTGTTCAAAGCTTGCTCCTGGATTGAGGACATGCTGAGCAGCTGAGAATGCTGCTCCCATTAGGGAGAAGACTGGGTCTCTAACACTCAAAGAGGCCAAGTAGCCATTTGTAAGCACTGATGTTAAGAAATGTGCTGTGGAGAAATGCCCCCACTTAGGGAGAGCCATCCTTTGCTAAAAAGCTAGCTTTCTTGCAAGGCAAGCACCCTTTGAAACTATTATTGAATTAAGGCTGTAGTACCTGTCGTGCTTGCCACCTTCCACTAGGATCCATCCAAGTCTTGCACTGCATCTTAGCTTCTTTGCCTTTGGCTTTGGAAAAAAGTCCCTGCCCTAGGCTCAGTACTTGTGGAAGATAACTATTATATATGGAGCTGAGGACAAATTCCTTCTCTTGGTTTGGGGCATCATCAACTCTTCTTCATGGGACTTAGTGTCCTGAGGAACGAATTTAAGGACTGGCCCCATTTTATCCAGTCAACCATTTTTTCCAACAGTACCTGATACCCACTGTCCTTCCCATTGCATTCAGTCTCTCTGCACAAGCGTCTCCTGGAGTCACACAAATGGTGCGTTATCTATATCTCTCACTGATTTAAATCCTTCCTGCAAGGCTCATGCCTACTGCTCCATGAAGCGCTTTTTCTTTCTACTTCATCCACCTATCCTGATCTAGTCTCCATTTTCAAACTTCCTAGTTGAATGTATATGATCTTGCTTCGTTTTTGAAGGACTCCCCTCCTGACAAGAGGTCAAGCTTTCTAAAAGTAAAGCCATTATTTCCAGAGGTCTCATTAAAGTGCTGGTCACACAATAAAAAGTGATTCAGTGGTAGCTAGATATATG